AACACACACACACACACACACTGTTTTATTTGAATATTTTCTTTGCATATTTTATTAGCATAGGATGAAAAAAATCCTATTCATGTTAGTTTATTCAAAGTAATTAGTACACTCAGATAAAATGTTATTGGTCTAATTTTCATGAGTTAACTCATTCGGTACTTCTTCCAGTGATTTGGTTGCTATGAGAACTTAACTCAGTAAATATTTGTAAATATTAGTAAAACTCAAATATTTGAATTTTTATAGCAATTGTACTTGAGATTGTTTTGTTCAAGATTTTAGCAGAATTGTCACTTTCTTGTAACATTGAGGAATGAAACAGTATAAAGACTTGTTTTGAGGAAATCATATGTTTATTTGGAGCTAAATTTTGAGAAATAAATTAATTTATAAAGGTTGATTGACTAGTTTTCTTTTTCTTCTTTTTTTTTTTCTTTCTTGGATTTGTCTGATTTATTTTATTTTATTTTTTTTATTTTTTTATTTTTTTGTCAGTCATGGGGCTTGAACTCTGGGCTTGGGTGCTGTCCCTGAGCTCTTCAGCTCAAGGCTAACGCTCTACCACTTGAGCCACAGCACCACTTCTGGCTTTTTCTGTTTATGTGGTTCTGAGGAATCGAACCCAGGGCTCATGTATGCAAGGTAAGCACTCTACCACTGAGCCACCTTCCCAGCCCCTGTCTGTTTATTTTTTTGCAGTACTAGAATATGAAATCCAGCCTTGTGCTTTCTAAGCAAGTGTTCTACCACTTAAGCCATACACCTACCCTTATTACTTTTACTTTAATATTTGGATAGGTCTTGATTTTGCCTGGTCTGACTTTGGACCACAATCTTCCTATCTATGCCTCCCATGAATCTGGGAATATAGGTGTGCAACGCTACACCTGACTTGTTTGCTTAGTTGGGATGGGTTGTCCTTAAATCACAATGTTCATGATTTCCACCCCCTGAGTAGTTGGGTTTGTAGACATGAGCCACTGTGCCTTGTTGCTTGGATCATTTCATAGCAGAGATTGGAAAATGAATTCTTGTCTTCTACACACAAAAAAGCTAACAAATTCATCAGATACAGTATAATAAGAGCAAATAATGTTATCCTTGTTGAATCTACTGGACAACAAAATGATGGTGATTTTCTCAATAAGAATATATTATAAAATTTTGATAGGTAAAATGAAATAGTAATTATTTTAAAGACATACAAATGAAGAGTTATTCATAATCACTCACTATTGATGGATAGTGAACTATTTATATGAAAACAGCAGTGATAAGATTAAATTAATCTTTTCCCCAGACTATATATTTTCTTCTCACTTGGTAAAAAATTTGAACACTTCAATAACCTGAATGTAAACAAATAAGAGAAATAAACCAGCTTTTTATACAACAGATGTTTAAATGTAACTTACCTTGTATCAAAATATCTATGAATCAATTTTGACTATTTTTATTTTTAATAAAAATGCAAGTTAACAAAACACACTACATTTGTGGAATACATTCATAATTGGATATCATTTTTCTTGTTTACAAAATAATATTGCATATGATTAATGCAAGAATTCCGTGTCACCTAACAATCATTTTCATTTTTAAACATTTAATACAGTATTTCAAATAGATTTAAATATAATTCACAATCTATTTTTTCATTTCAGTAGTTTAGAGGCATATTGGATTTAACATGAGCATTATTAGTAAAAGTTCACAAAAGTTCATCTGGGTTTATTTGAAATTTTATTTCTACTTTATTTTCATTCTACTGACCAAGTTCTGATGTGGACAACTGATCTTCTATTTTTACCTCCTATCTTCTATAGAAATATCATTAAGAATGTGACATTGAGATGACAATACTTTGTGTGGCTCACTGTCCATTTCCCATCACCAGAATATTTAGAAGGATCCTTCCATTAAAAACTCCACTGTCTAGAGATTACTGCCATTAATCAGACTATGGGATTTCGTTGGTGGTTTTGGAGCCATTACTTTGAATTCTCTTTCTCTCTCTGTCTGTCTCTCTGTCTCTCCCTTTCATAGCAACTAGATGCAATGTTACCAATGAATACATCCTGGCACCTAAATAAGTCGGAAAGTCTTGTAACTTTAAAGATTTAAATATCATATTCCCAGCCAAACTACTGTTTATGTTAGACATTATATACTACATAATAATCCAATATATTTTAAATACATTTAACATGATCCGGTATTTATACTTATTTTAGGCATTAGTTATGGTATACATATAATCTTCCATCTTCTGAAAAATTCAGGAAAATAGGAAAACTTCATGTCTGCTCTAGCAAAGGAAAGTATTTGAAACATCAGATGTATGGTGAATTATATAATCCTAAATATACTCAGAAATAATGAAATCATGAATCTTACAATTGTTACAGATTTGACTTCCTCAAAAAAATGATGGTTTAAAGCTAAATCCTTTTTCCCCCCTTTTCATCAGTTGTGAGCCTTGAACACATTGCCCAGGCCCTGTCTCTGAGATGTTTTGTTCACTACTAGTATTCTACCACTTTGAACCACAGCACCATTTCCAACTTTTGATTAGTTAATTCAGATAAGAGTCTCCTGGGGACTTTTCTGCCTGAGCTGGTTTCAAATTGTAATCATCAGATCTCAGCCTCCTGGGTAGCCAGGATTATGGGCATATGCCACTGGCACCCAGCAATCCTTTTCCCTTTTACAGTCTTTGATTTTGTTTGATTTCCTTCAGTTTAAATTCTTTAATTTTACTGTGAAGATGCTGTGCAGTGGGGTTACAGTTACATGAGTAAGGCAATGAGCACATTACATTACCCAAATGAAAATACACAAGGCCATAGTAAAGCTACCAGCACAACTATGTGTATCGAAGCATTATTCACCATAGTTCAGTTTAAATTTTTTAAAGAATATTCACTTACTACTTTCTCAGCTATTGTATGAAGGCTACCAAAAAACCATATTTGTTTGATTCTTTGGAAATTTACAAATAGCGACTGCCTTTAGAGTGGGGTGGGATGTAAAATCTATATGTAATGCCTCTGTCAGCGAAGACTTAGTAGAAGAAGGTTTATAATAAATATTCACATCTGCTGCTCTGGACACTCTAATCCATCCTAAGGATCTTTGCTGTGTCAGGCTTTGTTCTAGATGAAGAAACTCAGTGGTTGTAAAGGTTTGCAAATAGACCATATTTATCATGGTTAACTTTATTCTTAAAGCTTCTCTCTGTTTTAGAGATTTCTGTTTTGTTTGTGTTGTTGAGTGGGATGTAATTTTCAATTGAATATTTCACGATGCTTTTATGATGACACTATCCTCAAACTCTTATTATGAAATGGAAAAATTGTCTTTTAGGCTTGTTGAGAAGGCATCACTGCTAAAAGCGCCATGTTTGATGCAGAAGTAGAATGACAAGAGCCCAGGATGTTGGAAGTGGCGCTGTAGCTCAAGTGGTAGAGCGCTCACCTTGAGCTGAAGAGCTGAGGGTCAGCGCCCAGGCCCAGAGTTCAAGCCCCACGACCGATAAAAAAAAAAAAAGAGCCCAGGATGCGCAGGCTTGAGGAGCCGTGGTTAAATATTGGCTCCTTCTTTACCTTTGTCATCTTCATCTTTGTCATCATGATAAAGATACTAAGTCTTCTCAAGCTTTTTTTGTCTTCACCTACATAATACTCTTTTCTTTTTTTCTTTTTTCTGTGGGTCGTGGGGCTTGAACTCTGGGCCTAGATGCTGTTCCTCAGCTCAAGACAAGTGCTGTACGGTTTAAGCTACTTCCAGCTTTCTAGTGGTTTATTGGAGATAAGAATCTCAGGGACGTTCCTGCCGGGCTGGCTTTGAACTGCGATCCTCAGATCTCAGACATGAGCCACCAGCTCCCTGCTCATAATACTCTTTTATCAGTAAATTGTTTTATGAATTGCACAGGATTGTCTGTGTCAGGCACCAAATATGAGCTTCAGCATGCAGAAGAGTTTGATAAACTTTAAACACTATTGTTGCACACGCTATCTGAGTGTGGTCACATAACCAATGTGTAGTACTAATGCTGTAGTAATTTAAATACTAAGTTCATATAACCATAGTCTATTGGTTTTCTCTGCCTCCAAGGTCCTGGATAGTTTGCTACTAGACTTTTTCAATAAAACTACTAAATACAAATTGAATTGTTTCAATTTAGTGATTATTATTCCCTTACAATATACCCTAAAGATTACTAGAACAGTTTCTCCTAGCTTCTCCTAGCCCTATCATATAACAAAAATTTAGTTTAAAAATATCTTGAATTTTAAGTTATGACAAAGCCAATCATCTTGAAATTTATTTGAATTTCACTTTTTAAGATTTATTTAAATTCATTTTACTTCATCTCCAAAGAAAATGTGTTGATTTGTGAGTATTATAAACTTTGAGAGCATAAATGCATGTTGTTACTGTTTTAAGCAATGACTTAGCATAATTATGATAAGTAGAACACAAAATTTTAAATATAATTTTTGTAAGACATATTTATAGATTAAAAGTACATTTTCCCATAGGTAAAAGTTAAAAGCCATTCCTTTTAAAACTTTTCAACATATGCATTTGAGGAAGTTTGCCTGGCTTAATTGCTTTTAATGCCATCTCAAAATGATGTATTGGTCACAGATATTCAAAGAATAGTGGGTGCTTAAGGACTTCTACATACAGAATAGGCAAAGCATTAAGGTTTATTTTCCTAGTCTAAAATTTTGTATTCTAATCATTGATAGATCTTAATTATACTCAAATTAAAAGTAGTTCATATTTAAGAAAAATAAGTTTTGAATCACAACTGAAATAAAACAAAATGCTGTATTACTTATAAACTATGACTATTTATAATCTGTCCATCTCCCTGTCCACCTCCTCGTCCATCTCATTCTCTTCATTTTCCCCCATCCCTGTTTCTCTCCCCTCTCCCTCCATGTCTCTCCCTGCCTCTCCCTCTTCTTCTCTCCCACTTTCAGGTAGAGTTTTGGCTCAGGCAAGCAGCAATGGAATTATCCATTTGTTGGATCTTACATCTGGGCACATCCACAAGCTGATGGGCCACGAGAGTGAGGCACAGACAGTGGCATTTACCCACGATGGGAAATACCTGTACTCTGGAGGTTCTGATGGCACCATCCGGTCGTGGTGCTGAAGGCTAGCAGCAGGTCCCATTCCCTTTAAGGTTTGAAAATGCCTGGAGTAGTCCCAAACCGGCAAATAACTGGTTAAACAGCCAGTAGGTAACATTTTAAATTTGTTTTAAAACATGCTTTGGTTATTCATTTTAGTGTTCATAATGTTACCAATAAAAATAACAATAATAATAACTTATGTTCTTTTATTTGTCTGGTCTTTTTTTTAAATGTTTGTTTGGGTTCTTTTTGTTTTCTCCTGTGTCATTCTGATAAGAATTTAGAGACAGAGCACCCTTGCTAGGGATTTGGGAGAAACAGCTTTACAATGACGCCTAATGACAGACTAGATGAATTACAGGGGATTGATTTTTAATGTTAGAGAACAAACTGCAGGAAAACGCAGCTACTTTTTTTTCCCTCTTTTAAAAATCAAATTCAAGCTGCCAGAGGACTCAAAGTTGAATTATGTAGTACAGAAGACAGTCTTTCTGCCACGAAAGGGTCAAAGAGAAAGGAGCAAGCATTCATTTCCACAGATTCTTTGACAGTGATTATGCTTATCTATTAATAACAATCAAGGACTGCAGATGGCTTAAATCTAAATGTGAGGCTCTTCCGGAACTTTCATCTCTGCAGCCCATCCAAGGATGCATTAGGTATAATTACAAAAAAATTTCAAGTGTATTGTAATTTCAATGCAAATCAGCGTCTCACGTAGAATGCTTTCTCCTCTTCCTAATGCATGCGTCCGCTGTATAAAGCGCGACTGCTTAGAAAAACACTCCAGCCTGGGCTATAGCAGCAGCTCCGGGATTTCGACCAGCCTGGACTCAGAAGCCAGTTGTTGGCGCTGTCCGTGGTGCTGAGGAATTCCCGGCTGCCGGCAGAATGAGAAGCACACATCAGCAGTCTGAAAACTGCTCTCAGTGATGCGGAAGCCCGGCTAAAGTTGCTCCTCTCCTTTGGCGCCCACAGTTAGTTTTTTTTCTTTTTTTTCTTTTTTTCTTTTTTATTTCTTTCTTTTCTCTTTTCCTGCGGTGTAACAAGGGATCCAAGCAACATCTTGTGGACGATGCTGATGGTATTGGCGGCAGAGCTGGCTTTAAGCTACAGTATGCTGTTGCTGTCTGTGATCCTCAGAGCCTAGCCAAATCACCTCTACTGCCAGAGCAAACCTTCCGTAAGTGAGCCCATGTGTGGAGGAGGCGCAATCAGCAAGGAAATTTCATAGAAGGATCTAAGAGAGGAAAAAAAAAGCTAAAAATAAGTTCAACATGATTCTGCTATTGGTTTCTGGATTTCTGCGGGACCAGCGTTGCTTCTTGCTTTGAATTCTGAAGACAGGTCCACAGCATTTTTTTTTCTTATGTGTGTATTTGCTGTGTTTCTCTCTGGAAGGGTGGGAGACTGCATCTGGATTGTGTTTTGAAATGGGAGGTAAAGAGAATGGATTGCTTTTAATTCATGCCTGAAAACATGTATTCTTGGGAGGACTAAAGAGGAACTGCTTTCTTAAGAACATACCTGACCTTTTAGTTCAGGTTGGTCTGTGACAGCCCCCCACCCCCCACCCCCGCCACCTCCACCATTCACTTCCAGGGTGAATAGGTAAGTGTTTCTTATGACATGAGTTATGTTTGCTTTCTCAAAGAAATAGATGCTGTCTTTTAAAATCATATGTAACAATATGGGGTGGGGAGGGAAAGTTTATCTGAAAGTGACCCTCAGTTTAACCGTTGTGTGCTTTCTTATTTAAAAAATAATCTTCTGATAAACATGTTATTGGATACCTCTGTGGTTTCATTTCTGAAATTGTATTTTAAATCTTATTGGAGTAGCTCAGCTATAAAGAAGGCTTTTAAAATAGCCTAAGAACTTTATTATATTAAGAAGAAAATCTTGGTTGGTCCATGCAGATTTTAAAATGTATTTCACATTTAAAGCAAGGTTTCATGCTCATAAAAAGTAGATATCCCACCCTCGTTTTGACCTTTAAGTTTATATTCATAATAACCTGACACATTTATGCCTACCTGTGGCTTACAAAGAGATCGTTTTCTCTCTGTGTCCTTTTGAAGCAGAATCATATGTGTATTTTATGTTGCTTGCCCGCATGTATTGATAGATGATGCTAGAATATTATGAGTCACATTGCTCCCTTTCCTTCCAGGATAAACTTTCTAAATATAAAACAGGTGTACAAATGCATGCTTTAATTAGTTAAATATATTTATGCTTTTTTCAGAAGCTTCTCATATGTTTGTGACCCCTTCAGTAATTTAGAAGAAAAAATGCTTTGTCAAATAGAGCTTCCAGCTCTCAAGCAGAATTATAGGTTTGCATTTTCTTGGACTGTCATGACTCATTATTTTTGACATATTTTAAGAGAAATCTATCTCCTGTATCTTTACCCACCCCAAAATAATTCTAATATCAGGGAATACTGGAGTTCTGATATCAGATTTTTCTGAAAAGAACACATGAATATACTGCCTGCCATTTTACTATTACTAGAATTTGCATATCTAACTTAAAATGTAAATACAATCTCATAGTTTATGAAGTTTCCTAATGTCACCTTCGTCATATTTAATTTTATCTTCTGTTTATGTTAGCCTAAGAAAAATGTGGTTTGTCATTGTTTCTGAAAATAAACCAATGAGTGGCATTTATACATCTGAGGATGTCCTATATACCATCTTAGTGATACTGGCAGGAAGCCAATATCAGACAAACATTTTAACTACACAAATATTTTACAACATATTTCCTCATCTATTATTCCCTAAAGTAACAGTTTCTCAAGAGTTTTAGTTTGAGTTAGTTACTCTTATTATGTAAATAAGACCCCAGTAACAAGACTTTTACACCAAGCAGGAATAACAGGTGAGGCTTATAAGAGTTAATTTCACCCAATTATCAAAGTATATACTCTATGCATGACAATGCTTTCATTATTACCTAATGAAACTTCAGTAAATTCTTTTATGTTACCATCTTTGTGCCAGTTGCCTAAATGCAAATAGTTTGGCAGTTCAAAAGAATTGTGTTTTCAAGAATATATATGGTGATTATAGCATATGGAAATAATGAACTCATTATTTACATTACACAAAGTTACATGACACAAATGCTAAATTGCCTGGCTGTGCAAAAATTCATAGATCTTTCCTGCCCACTAGGCGCTTACCTCCTGAGTAAAACAGAGATGTGGACAGTAAAACAAATAAAATTGTCTTTCAAAACTGGCTTGAGTAGATGAAGCTCTCTTGTATTATTTGTTCTAAATCATTCTCTAATTCGCCATAGAACATTTAAGATATTTTTATTTCCATGTTGACTGAAATGAGTAGTTCATGTTGAGATTAGTGTCTTTCTTCATTTATGGGTATAAAAAGTAGGAAAGCATTTATACTAGCTCCATCTCAATTAAAACATCCAATGATTGGTGTTATGCATTTTTTTCAGAATTTACTTTTTTATAGTAATCTCTTGAGTTTGGGCACAGATAGTTTTAACACATATATTACCACTGGACCAGTCCAGTTTAAAGAAGAGGATGAAAATCCAAATATTCTGGAACTGCTTGTCAGTAGCTACTTATAACCACCCTTTGAAGCTTAGCAAAACTTCTAGTTAGGAAAAGCCAGACCTTTTAAAATCTAAAGGTAAATTCAAGTTCAAGGTTCCTCTGTAAAATAACTCCACAAATAAAAATTTTAATGCATATTTTGTGAGGGCCAACTATGAAAAATTCACAGTAAATATAAACCATTGCATGAATTTAGTCTACTTGAGGATATAGTATCCTCTGAATTGAACCCAAGCAAACAAGGGCTTAAATGAATCTATATTTCTCTTTCTATATATGTCAAATTATTTTTAAATATTTATTTTCAGCCTACCCCTCTTGTATTCCCATGGAAGGAGCTGAGTATATATAATATTAGGAGTACATCCAGAAGTCTTTGAGGAGGGGGATGGCTCTTCATATTCATGAAGCTTGCATACTTCTATTGGTCATCCCTGGATTGGTCACCTCTGCTGCCATCAGTCATGAAGACTATCCTGCTGATGAAGGTGACCAGACCTCCAGTAATGACAATCTGATCTTTGATGACTATCGAGGGAAAGGGTGTGTGGATGACAGCGGCTTTGTATACAAGTTGGGAGAACGTTTTTTCCCAGGGCATTCCAACTGTCCATGTGTCTGTGCTCTAGATGGACCTGTTTGTGACCAGCCAGAATGCCCTAAAATTCACCCAAAGTGTACTAAAGTGGAACACAATGGATGCTGTCCAGAATGCAAAGAAGTGAAGAACTTTTGTGAATATCATGGAAAAAATTACAAAATCTTGGAGGAATTTAAGGTATGACTTACCTCTGTACTTCCTGAATTCTAACTTTTTGTATCAATTCTTAGTAGATTGGTACATTTATTAGTGCATTAGATATGCACATATGTATGTATATATGCTATATATACATATATATAGTCTTTGTCACATGATTAATGTCTTTATTAATAGTCATTTATTATAAACTAATGTTTTCTGAGGGAAGGATTGTTTGTAGGTGTCTGTTTTAAATCAGTTTTCAAGTTTTATGAGTTTTTTTTGAGACCTATTATTCTGTATTTGGGGCCAGTTATCTATGGTCATGAAAAATTAGTATTTGTTTATCATGTGGAAATAAAAGGGCCACAAGGTCACACTTCTGACCGGTGATCTTCATAATAAGAAAATGCATCGGGCCTACTTGTCGTAAAGCAGACTGTTTGCAAGGCTTCGTGGACAACTTAACTTTTTAATAATGTGTAAAAAATAACTTTTTAATACCTACATGGTATTTACTGGCTTTTATGCCATTTTCTTTTTTCTAAATAACTTGTAGTTCATATTTTCCTCTTCCTAGATTCTCTTTACTTCACTAATGACTTTTAATTAAGTTGTCAAATATGAATCCTAAGGGCATGAATTAATACATGAGGACATCCTCTGCAATTGGGCCACATGAGGAAGTCCAGGCCAGTCTTGGATACTTAAGAAGAACCTGTCTCACGTAAAGAAACAAACGTAGTCCTCTTTTTGTTTTGTGGGGTTTTTGTTAACTGTATTTATTTCTTTTCTTTTTG